GTATTTTTAGAAGCCGTACCGGCCACCTTCCGAATGCCTTAGCTTCTCTTAAAAAGCTGATGTAGGAAAAATTTACTTAACATATATTAGGACAAAAAGCTGGGAAGAAGCCAAGAAGAATGCTGCGGTTATGGCGCCCTGTTGTGCTTAGAGTAATAATGAGCGTACTTGAACTTAATTGATAGTATGGTTTTTTTTTATGCAGCAAAAAATGTCAAAAATCTGAAGTCGGAAAGTGGCCCATATTCGCTCTCTCGGAGAGATGGAAATACTCGGGAAATAGCCCGATTGGTAGCAAATTCCAGCAGCAACTATGCGCTAGCAAGGTTTTTGAAAGTTTCATCTTTCGAGGGTTGCTTACAAGCAAATTGGTGGCGGTTTTGTCTCCCTGACGTATGCTAATATCAATTTACTATTGAATCGAATGAACCAAACGTGGAGGATCTGGAAAAATGGCGAGAAGAAGGGACTGAGTTTTTCAGTGACTGCACAGCGTGCTTGTATTTCAACCCTAAACAAAATTTAGTGAACGAATATGTATATTTTAAGATTCAGAAATACTTTTTTCCACTTGCAGGTATTAAGAAACTTGGAAAAATCGCGACCATTGATCCGTATAGGACAAAATGGCGAAATGCAGAAGCTGGACCTATAGCTAAGGGCAAAAATGAGAACAAGCTGCTCTCCACCAAAAAAGACAGGTTCGGTACATCACAGTTTACTTACTTGGGAAAAGAATGCTTATTACTTGGCCTTATTCCATATTTTCTATGAGAGATTAATGTACAGAAATTAGGAGTAGAACTCTTTTGCACGAAATACTTCAAGTGGCTCTTAATTTATGGCTTGATTGTACAACTGTGCAGTTGGCGACTTTTCCACTTGTTCGGATCAGTGCTTTGTCGCCCGATGTCTTCACTGCCTGGCGATCCTGACGTTCGTTTCTTCTTATCCCATTAAGAGAAGTTAAAAAAGAACTGCACAAGACAGACACTGGCCGGTAAATTTTGGCGGAAAATTCTCTGAAGCAAATTTTTTTTTGCAAAAAAATGAACAGTTCCTTAAAGAAGGGAGCACCAATTTAAGGAGTTCTTCAAACGGAACACATGTGACGGGGCTTTGGCCATTTCGAGATAC